CCAATATAGGATGTGGAGCAATGCTTTTATGTATTTTGTTGTGCCAACTGAGTCTGGTGTCCCCCAGTACTACGGTCCTGAGGTAGTAGCTCTATTGGATCTCTCTCCCATAGTGTCAGGATGTCTGTGAGGGATTACTCTGTGTCTGTCTTCTATTGTTTCTGTAAGGACTGCAGGTATTTTTGTATCACTGGTGTCTGTACAAGATTAGCCTCAGCTGAGTCTATCCTTGGTCTAGAGTATACCTCTATTCACTGATCCCTGTCTGATCATCTCAGGTGTTTATGTGTTTATCTGTATAGCCTAGTGTTTGTTGTTAATGGCAGTGTGGTATTGTGGACACATTGGTTGGTTTTAGCATCTATCATCTATCTCTTATGTGCACAGTTTGGTGTCCTCTTATTTCCCATGTTATCATGGTGGTCATGCAACCACCATGCAAAAGATCTTTTTAAAGTGCTGAAGAGTAAAGATGTCACTTTAAAAACTAAGGTGTGCTTAACCCAAGGCATGGTATTTTCAATTGCCTCATGTGCATGTGAAAGCTGGACAGTGAATAAAGAAGACCAAAGAGTTAATGTTTTTGAGTTGTGGTGTTGGATAAGAATATTGAAAGCGCCATGGACTGCCAGAAGAACAAACAATCTACCCTGGAAGACGTGCAGCTGGAATGCTCCTTGGAAGTGAAAATGGCCAGGCTTCGTCTGACCTACTTTGGTCATGTTGTCAGAAAGGACCATTCCCTGGAGAAGGATATCATGCTTGGTAAAGTGGAGGGTCAGCAAAGTAGGGGAATGCCCTCATTAAGATGGATTGGCACGGTGCCTGCAATGATGAGCTCAGGTATAGCAAGGATTGTGATGCTGGCATAGGACTGGACAATGTTTTGTTCTGTTGTACATAGAGTTGCTATGGGTCAGAGATGACTGGACGACATCTAACAACAACAACCCTGGCACAGTAGACCATATTATTATCTGATTCAAAATGGCCAATACCAGTCCATTTCACCTCACTAATGCCTAGGATATTGACCTTTATGTGTTCTATTTCACCTTCAACAACCTCCAATTTTCCTATTCATACTTTATATATTCCACATTCTGATTATCAATGGATGTTTGCAGTTGTGTGTGTTCCATCAGCAAATGAAAGTCCTGAAAGCTTTACTCCATCCACGTCAGCTCTGGTGGCATAGTGCCTAGGGCATTTGACTGCTAATCAGAAGGCTGGTGGTTCAAACTCACCAGCTACTCTTTGGAAGGAAGATTGGGCAATCTACTTCTGTAGTGACACCACCTCGGAAACCCAAGGAGGAGTCACTATGATTTGGATCTGACTTGACAGCAGTGAGGTTTTTTGGCTACCTTGAGGAGGCAGCTCTTCCTCAGTCCTATTTTGAGTTCTCTCCAACCTAAGGGGCTCATCTTTTTGCACTGTATTAGACAGTGTTTCAGTGCTATTCATAAAGTTTTCCAGTATTTTATCTGATGGTGTTTCACTGTTATTCATAAGGTTTTCAGTGGCCAATTTTTTTCAGAAGTGGATGGTCTGTCATTCTTCACAATCTTTCTTACTCTGGAAGCTCCACTGAAACCTATCCACCATGGGTGACCCTGATGGTATTTGAAATACTGGTGGCACAGCTTCCAGCCTCACAGAAACATGCAAGCCACCACAATATATACAAACTTCACTGGTTTTTCTTCTGTAGAGAACTCAGCCTAAGATAGCAAGTGATTTTCCATTTATGAAAATGGTATAGCGTTTCTTTCTTCATTTAAGTTAATAAGGCAACTGAGTTTTTTAGTAAGTGATGTGACAGGTTTTTTCATATGTGAATATGATATAGCAGTGACTGGAATTTAGCAACACTATCTGAGGAACATTAACATCTGAATCTTGCTTTCAACTTTCTATACATGGAAGGAGGGATCTGGATGCTAAGATGTAGAAGCTTATGTCTGAGCACTGAGATGGCTTCTGTATGGCACAATGGAACCTGCTCCATGGAAAAAAAAGGCACAAGGAAAGTAGGAAGTATCCTCTGCACTCTCTGGGAGTAGAAAATGGTAACTATAAGATCTCAAACCATACAATGTGATATCTTGATGCCTTTTGTATTTTCTAGAATGATTTTCCTTCTCTTTTCCCTTAGCATTTACCAAAAATATTTTAAAACATTAGTCTGTCTGAATTGTGAAATGGAATTACCAAAGACGAGAAGTAAATATGCTCTAATTGCTGCTGCAGGAATTAGAGACCACCCAAGAAAAGTGTGAAATCATATGGGCAGCTTCTTGCCACCTGGAATTTTCTTCTTTGATTCATTCCACCAGGAGCTTGATAGGTTCTACTTTTAGATAATATGGAGGTTGTTCCCTAACAATGTTCTGACCTAATGGTAGTAGCTCCTGTTGCACCATTTGTGCACTCCTTTCTTATTTAACCCTCACAACTTTATTACATGAATGAAGCAACAGCTCAGAGACATTAAGGGACTGGTTAAAGTCACATAGTTAAGGTTCAAACCAAGCCTGTTGGGCTCTAAAAATCTGCATCACCACAAATCATCATTGTGCCTGGGATCATTGTGACCTTTGCTTCAAACACAATCACAGGGTTTCTTTTCCTTGTGGTTTCAGAAGCAGAGACCCAGAAGAAGGACTTCAAGGTAACAACTTTTCTAAGATGTCACAATTCTGGAGGGTGCAAAAAGTTAACCGTTTCAGCAGCTAACCAAAATGTTGCAGGTTCAAGTCCACCCACAGGAACCTCAGAAGAAAGGCCTGGTGATCTACTTCTGAAAAATGAGCCATTGAAAACCCTATGGAGCACAGTTCTACTCTGACACACACTGGGTCACTATGAGTCAAAGCTGACTTGATGGCAACTATTTTTTTGGTCCCCTGGCCTTCAATGCCCAGCAGTAAATGAACATCTGTGGGATTTTATTAAGATTTCCCCTTGTTTGAATTTTAATGTGCTCAAAATGTGGTTTATAATTACTGCTACAAGTAGCAGCACAATTGAAAAATGGAAAGGAACCTCCCTTCCCCATGTATGTGTAGGGTAGTTTGTGACCACTGCCACACAGATAGGAAGAAGAGAGAAATGAGTGGTCAAAGATTTACTGACCAGCAGTAGAAAATATTGACAGACATGCATGCAAAGAATGCCTCCCTTGTTTTTTTCTTAGAAAGATTTTGCACTAAATATTGTTGTTGTTGTTATGTGCCGTAGAGTCGGACCCGACTCATAGTGACCCCTCCTTGGGTTTCTGAGGCAGTATCACTACGGAAATAGATTGCCCCATTTTCCTTCCGAGGAGTGGCTGGTGGGTTTGAACCGCCAGCCTTCTGGTTAGCAGTCAAGTGCTTTAGGCACTATGGTACCAGAGCTCCTACACATTATTATTTCAAAATGTTTCTGATGCCCACAAGACCTGAAATACATCATCCTAATGAGAAACTTTTCAAAACTATTTTTCAAGAATTGAAGCATTTTTGAAAGAAAAAAATTACAGATTACACATCCACTAAGTCCACTTATTAAACTTATTTCAAAAACCTGTAAGTTTTTAAAACAGTGCAGGAGACGGATTAGGGGATAATTTAATGTGTGAAGGGGGTCCCCTTTAGAAAACATCTGAGAGCATTTTCTCTAATAATAAAGGGCAAAGTACATGCAGTTGTGTAAACTGCAAATACTCCACTAGTGTGTGAGCGCAGAAGAAACCTCTTCCACGCTGGAGCTCGCCAGAGGTCAATAATGCAGT